AGAGCCCTAAATAATTTTTGGTGAAAATGAATTATTTTGAACATTTATTTCCGTTTCGTACCAATCGGCACTTTGGAATCAGGGATTTTCAGTTTTTTTCATAACACCTGCACTTCTCCAAGAAATTAACGCACCGCCAAACAGTAGCCAAAAGTTTAGGAAACAATTTCGTGAAAACTGCTGGTCCGAATAGGACGTCTTTTGTTTTGAATGGCTGGTGATTTCCTTCTGAACATTGATGTGCAAACAGTACCCGGTATTCACAAAAAAGAGGTTCTTTTGTGAAAACAGTTCGCACGCCAATATTCACACGTTAAAAAGGGATTTGTTGCATCAAAAAATTATTTATGCTTGAATTATTTTTGTTGGACTGAGCAATTTTTTGTTGAATCAACCAGATACATGATTATTTCATGAAAGCAGCTTGTTCAAATCAAGAATGTAGTCTAATTGAATCAGCAGTACAATATCAATTCCATCAACAAAATATATGGTTGCCTAAAAAACAAATTATGTCGATCCAAAATAATATCGATGTTCATTCAACTATGAACATTTTGTTGATTTGATGAAATAATGATCATTTTGATGAGAGTATATCTTTGAAGCAACATACAAGTTTTCTTTTTCCGATGTATCGATGAACTCGTTTCGAACGGATCATTTGCTTGAATAGAGGAACGAAATAATATTTATTTTGCTCATTCTGCATCAATAAGTTAAATTTTCGCCTCTAGATGGCGATCATTTCGCTTCGCCTATGCGTGCCTCGAATTCATTATATACGTGAAGAAAATATCAGCTGGATAAATTGAACTTAGGATGAATAGAAGATAAAAGTGAAAAAAATACTGGAGATATATGCCAGATGTCGACTAGTTTCCTAGTTTAGTTTATTTTATTGATTCGAAACAGAAAACTTCGGAATAAATACTAAATTTGGTTCAACAAAACAATTTGTCGAATGGAAATACAGTTTCTCTTGAATCAACGAAACATTTCATTGAATCAACGAAATATTTCATCAAATCAACCAAATATTTCATTGAATCAACCAAATAATTCATTGATTCAACCAAATATTTCATTGAATCACGTAAATATTGATTGAATCAATATCTTGATATTTTGAATCAAACAAAATGATTGTTTGAGCCAATTCAATATCTCGATCTTCATAAACAACTAATGGATGTGCTTGATTGAATAAGATCCAGAGTTGATGCAAGACATTTCTACTTAATTCAAACCTCAAATTCGCTCTAAAACAAGATATTACTCATTTCAAGATTATATTTTGTCATGCATATATGACACTTTTATTTGCTTCATTCAATTAAATTTTGCTTGAATCAACAATCATTTTTTTTCGTGCAGAAGATAACCTATCGGTTACTTTTTTGGTGATGCGTTAATTTTTTGAGGAAGTGTTTCTCAGGGACAGCATATCTGTAACCATTTAGGAAATACCATGAAATAGGCGGGACCCTGTATATTCAGATGCATTAGGATTATTGTTACATGCTATGTATGTTACCTACTTATTTGAAACTGAAAATCAGGAATAGAAATCTTGATAGGAATCGAAATCTTGATAGGAATCCATAAAATCAACCCAATCACTTGAATTTGAAGGATTTCAATTAATTATTTCATTTATATAGCCTATATGAGTGTGGTTTCTTCTCGGGTTTCTTGCAGTGTATATTCCACAGATTGCACATTCATTTTTGAAGATCGATTTTGATAATGTTTGTTTGTTAGGCGTAGGTATAAAGATTGTATAGTGATTTGAAATGCACAATATATTCATCAAGTAGGTAACTTTATTTTTCTACGGCTATAACACAAAGTTGTTGTTGTTTTACTGTGTTCGATACATCAATGAGGAATGAGGTACTTTGTATGTCATCAATATCATTTCCGTATCTGATATCACAATGACTCCATTGTGTTATCCAGTTGCAACTGTAAATTAGGCAGAAGAAACTTTTTTTTTCAAAATATCTCCTAATTTACAGTTGCAACTGTAAATTAGCAGGTTTTTCGAAAAAAAAAGTTTTCTCTCCCTAATTTACAGTTGCAACTGTAAATTAGGCGATATTTAGAAGAAAAAAAAGTTTCTTCTGCCTAATTTACAGTTGCAACTATAAATTAGTGCTAATTTACAGTTGCAACTGTAAACTAGGCAAATATTCGTGAAAAAAAAAGTTTTTCAAGGATGGCAGGTCAGACGCGTCGTAATTATATAGAACCTTGATTAGAAAGCAGGGATTTCCCGCCTTTTATATGTAGGTGGGTATACGCTAACAAAATGAGGTTTTTTACTGTTCTATATAACAATAGTTGAACTTTAATGAACTGCTATAGGTGCACACCTACTTATTGCTGATTCAGATATACCTACCATCGATATACAGTGAGCGGCAACATTATGGAACAAATTCATTCAAAAGTCAGGCCTGTGTTTCTTGGGAAAACGCTCGGACAGGTCGATTTTTATTTTTTCCTGCGGTTTTTATGGTAGTAGGTTCATTTATACAGGGTGGCTCAAAAATTATTTACGACCTTCATTTTAATTTCTTCAAACCATTTTTTTTGGTCAATTTCAATGATAAATGAAACATATACTACTTAAAATTTTACGCAGAATTCAAAAATTGAATAAAAAATAAGTGTTTCCATTTAAAAATTAAATTGATCATCATAACTTATTTTTGAGCCACCCTGTATAAATAAATCTACTACCATAAAATCAGCAGGAAAAAATAAAAATCTTCAAACCATTTTTTTTTTGTTCAATTTCAATGATAAATGAAACATATTATACTACTTAAAATTTTACGCCGAATTCAAAAATTGAATAAAAAATGAGTGTTTCCATTCAAAAATTGAATTGATCATCGTAACTTATTTTTGAGCCACCCTGTATAAATAAATCTACTACCATAAAATCAGCAGGAAAAAATAAAAATCTTCAAACCATTTTTTTTTGTTCAATTTCAATGATAAATGAAACATATACTACTTAAAATTTTACGCCGAATTCAAAAATTGAATGAAAAATGAGTGTTTCCATTCAGAAATTGAATTGATCATCATAACTTATTTTTGAGCCATCCTGTATAAATGAATTTACTACTATAAAATCCGCAGGAAAAAATAAAAATCGACCTGTCCGAGCGTTTTCCGAAGAAACTTAATATTGCCGCTCACTGTATATGATAATTACCACAACATATAAAGTGTACCTATTATTTTAATTGATGAAATATGAATACAAAGTCAAAATAAATTACATAAAATATATGCAATAATCAGTGATATTGCTTATAGATAGATACATAGGCTTACGATAATTCGAACCTATACCTATCCCGTATTAACCCTTAAAAGGGTTTTGCTGTTTTCAAAATTACCTTATTTTTCGTCGTGTCTTCTCATTCTTATTATTCATGTACTTGATCCATGTAAACAACAACAATTTGAGCCAGTTGGATAAACATGGCTGGATTTACACATAAACAAAGCAAGCACGTGCTCGAGTCAGTCGAGTCAACTAAGTCTGTGGCAGGTCAAGTTCAAAAACACATTCATGATGAACCTCGTGCTGAACTAATGACTTAATTATATTTTAAATAACTGGAGAAGACATAATTGAGAGGGCATTTTGATGACAGTTTAGGATAAGTATACAGGGTGATCCACGAACGGAAAGACAGAACAACCTGAAAATTAGGATGCTTTGATTGAACATTCTCTATCCGTCTAAAATATTCTCATCGATACAGTGTTGTCACTTATATCAGAAACAACTAACACCGTGGATCACCCTGTATGTGGTCATGGTAGCTTAAGGTTGTACTTATTTACTTATGTTGCCATCTCGATTGCCATATTATATAGCGTCGAATTCTCGTCAAAATTTTTTTCTCAACATTCCGAAATTTTCTCTGGATTATTCCTTTTAGCTCAAATCTTTTTGTTTATCCAGACTTCTTTTTTGAATCCCGACCTCGATACAAACAAAGACAATCTGTGAAGGATGATTTTTTCCATTTTTATGTTTAAAATAATATGGGAGCAGAGCCGTTTTCGAAACTCCCGAAGATGAGAAAAAAATTATATTTTCCAATGATCTTCTTTCTCAAACATTTTTCAAAAAAGGTGTCACTGACAATAACCGACTGAATTTTTCTTATATGTTTCTAGTTGTGATATTTTGAACGTAGTGACATTTCAGGCCCAATCATCTGATTCGTCCTCACTATACTAGACCACTGAAATAATACTAATATTTTCATTTAAAGAGACTAAGACGATGAGGGTAAATCCCAAAAATTAGGAGAAAGTAATGTTCAACTTCGTCTATCAACGTACAGACAGCAATTTATCATAATTTAGACTAGGTAGGTATACTTTTTCATCAATTCAGCGTATATTTTATTACTTCCTTGAAATTCAGATTTTTCTTCGAATCAAGACTTATTTGTTCCCTGAATTCAGTATTCTTTATTTTGAATGGTACTATAGGTAGGTATATATATATATATGTCTTTTGAATTCAGATTTGAATCAAACTTTTCCTCTATATTATTCAAATTCCTTTTGTATTATGTATTATGATTAATCAATGAAATCCCATTTTATATCTTCTGAAATTCTGGATAAATTTTCATGTTCATGAGGGATCACGAGGAAGCTGCTATGGCTACCCCCTGAATCCGCCCCTGGCATAGGTACAGCTCATAAGCCAATAGGAATAGCGCATCCACGAGGAGAACACGTGAATGTTGTTTTATTGCGCCGATTTCATGAAATACAGTTATTATTGGTTTCATTATTTCTCATCCATATTTTTTTCATTACCTTGCTTTTATATAGCTTCTACTAGTCAGCTGGCAAAAGTAAATATTCATTTATTGAAAAATATCAATATACCAAGCATTAATAAAATTCATCAGACTTATTATATTATTCTATCACTTTATTGTACTTACCTCTTATAGGAAATGGTTTAGTTTGTATTCTTTTTTTATTTGGCGGCAACAACCTATTGGTTCCTGGCGACAATTCGCTGGGGCATGATTTGACTTCATTGATTTTGTGCTTATTGAAATTTTTATAAGGTCCGGACCCGATGCAGGAACTGTCGGGTGCCCTCAGAGACCCGCTCAAAAAGTCCAATCCACTACTCATATCTCGGCAGCACACTTCACGCGGAAATAAATAAACGAATGTAGTTAAATATCGCTATCAATTCTCTTACACGCGATCGACGAATGTTGGAATGTATTTCTATAAATTATTATCACAGCAGTTTATTCAAAATCAGCCGCGTAAGTGCGATGTGCAACTGTTATAATTATTGCAATCGCTTTGAAGTCGTCGGATCCGCGAAATACCAGATTACGGAGTCCAATAGACGCCGACCAATCAGAACGTGTTATGTCATCATGCGACACAGAAGCCCCTACGCCACAATGTAGTGTGCCATGAGCATGAGAGGGAACAGCGAAACATGAGCGAAACCGATACGGCGCCATCGCTTTAGATGTAGATTGTACCAGGACGATTCAATAGTTTCTGGAACACACTGATTATTGACTGTGTTGTTCCAATGCTTGTTGATTTTTTATTCATACATAACAAAGGATTTAGTTACGATGATTATCTTTTGCTCATAGTAATAAATAATATGAAGTAGACAGGTTACTTTCCTAACTCATAAATATAGAAACCTTTATATATCAGAGTGATTACTGAATAGTATTGATCTCTACAGGGTTTCCAACAATATGATTTGACTACGCCAACCTTACGCAACCAAGAAAAAATACATTCGTATCTTCTCAAAGCATGGTTGAAAGAAATGGTCACGTGGAACTCAATCTTTATCTGTGAAGGAATTTAAATGTTTTCGAATGATGGCGGGAGAGCTGAACAGATATCTCCTAACTACAGTTATATACGACACGTACAATATTTTTTATAATTTTGATGAGAAATTTTGATTGAAATGAAAAAATGATACCGATACCAGGCGTACACATGATCGAGTCGTCATTCTACAGATTTTGTAAAAAATTCAGTAGGCAAGTTGACTTCGTCCGTCACTTTGAAGTAAGTCTAGGTATATCCGTCAAACAATATGGTCACAAATCGGCGACGATTTTCACGAAATAGACTCGTTTGAAATTTTCATAAGTGGAAAATGGCTAATTCAACTTCAGATATCTCAGTAAGTGATATCGAGTAAGCTGCACGAAATTCTCTTCGTCAATCCAGCGAAGAGATATTGTCAATCCATATTTTTATTTCGTAACTGGTGTTGAGATGAGAAGTTTTGAAAAGTGTCAAATTACATGTCAAAATTAGAAGAATTAAATTCCTTGTTTTCATAGGGGCTATATTCCGAATTCAACTAGTCAGTACTGTCAGTAAATCCACTGACGCTGCTGAAAATTTGTGTTCCGAAATAAAAAATAAAAAATACACCGCTGTAATTCGGAACACGTTTTCATGGTTTTCATCAGTAATCAGCTAATCAGCTGGTGAAATTTAAATATTATTCTCAGCGTTGATTATTTTAATAACAGGCATTTTCTGATATTGAATATATAGAATTATTATCAATTTATTATTGATAAGACAAAGGTTTAATGTCTACTGAAGCCACACTACACCTTGCAATAGTCAGCAATTGCAGCAGAATGTTGGGTCGAAATATTTGGAATTAATATATAGTATGTCTGCTCACATCAAGTATCTGTCACTTTCAGTGATTTTTTTTTACTGTACTGTCAGTTGAATTCGGAATATAGCCAATGTACTGCTTTCCAGTTGATTGATTGATTTATAGCAGAATGACCGCAGTCAGGGTTCGAAGCCCAAAACACTACAGCCTCCGGGCCTATTGTATTCCTGATCATGCTGTTGACTCAGGTCAACAGGTTCGCTACCTTGAAAAGGTTTTACAGTCTCTTCACCAAATCTTTCGTCGGAAAAACCTCATGTGAGTTCAGTGCTTCCAGAAGGTTGAATCCTCCTCCTCATTGTATATGGTTCGTCTGTATAGATGCCCATTTGGTGCATATATGTTTCCTCAAGGGGCAGTGACCGTCACTTTTGTCTGATGTGACTTCTGTTTAGGCTCAGAATGTATCGTTGGTCACTGTTCTGGACAGTGTTCCAACCATCAGTTTGCTGTACCTTTGTCCTGGAACGTTGTTCCAGTATGCCTGATGTCTTTCTTGCGTCCACCTTGCCGGCCAGCCGCGTATTGAGGTTTTAGGGATTCCGAACACAGGTTCCGGTTCCATAAACCACGCCGCAGACCCTTCAGTTGCTTCATTGCCTTCAATTCCCTTATGCCCTGGCACCCATTGAAGCATTACCTTGTTAGCCTGGGTTAGCAGGCTTGGAAAGCAATCCCAGACCGCAGTCTTGATCTGATTTCTTCATTGAATGTTAAAGATTGGATAGCCGCCTGACTATCTGAGCATATGAGGATTTGTTTACCTCTGTACCCTCTCAGGATATTCTCACTCAGACATGCCTCAATAGCATGCACTTCTGCTTGGAATACGACCCCAAGGAAGCACAAACCCAAGTTCTAGGTCTATCTCCTTATATTCCGGCTCCCGTACCCTCATCAGTCTTAGACCCGTCAGTAGTAATACTCTTTCAATCTGAACTAACTGAAATATTTTACTAGAACTGAAGTGAATCATTCTTTCAAATGACGTTCATTGTGTACAATGCATGTCAACTGATTCGGTTCAGTTCAATCTGGGCAGCATTTTGTCACTTCCCAATTGCCATTAGTTGGCATCCCGTTACAGAGCACACCATGCTTGATATAAAATAAGTTCTGGGGTAAAAGTAAATAGAAAGATAGTCATTTTCAGTTCTCCGATGGTATTTTGAAAAGGAAACTTAAGTTATCAAATTTCATCTGCTCCTATATTCATTACAATGAAAAATATTTTTAAAAAATGTTTGTATTTGTCTACATGTTTGTGGCTTGTATGAATACACAACTCTACTATCGCCTTGCTGATGGTAATTGGTACAAAGATTCCATATCACTTCTGTTGTAAATAGTAAATATCATCTATTATTGCACTAAAATTTTCCAATATTTTCCATTTTTCTCAGACACAGATTGATAACTTTGTTTTCAAAACAATTCAATGTTCAATAAAGTGTCAATAATTTGAGATCCAAAAGAATTTTCCAGCATGAAATTTTTCTAATCTTATCAGTGTATGTGTGATATGCTTGTGAATATGACTCATTTTTAAACTCTTAATACACTGGATTACCTTCAAGGTTCATAATTGGATACTGATGGGTTATTCAATAATTCTTATTATTCACCTTATTCCTGGTTATTCATACAGGGTGGCCCAAAATTAGCCTTCCAAACTTCACCAGTGGCACCCTGTATTATACACTCCTGAATCAATTTTTTGAATCATTTCATTTTCACTGCATTTGGCATAGAAAGTTTGGAATGAAAGAATGGATGCCAAGACAAAATATTGAAACATATCATTGTTTCACAAGTGATGAAATTTCCTACAAAGGTCTTCAGAATTTAGTTGTTGCCAGAGGTTTTGCAAAAACATATGCTGCTGTTGAGATGTTTTCCAAAATATTTTTCAATTCAAAACAAAAATTCTTCATTGCTTACATCAATATATTTGCATGAATATAGATGATAGTATTAATATTCACAAAGTCCAAACATCAATAGATTAAATAAAATAATAGTAATAATACTAGGCATATTATAATAAATCTAGAAATACCCAAACCAAAGTTGCAATAATTTGTAGATTTATGCAAAAATACTGAATCTTAAGTAATTAATTTAAGTATTTAGCTGACTTTCCAAATTACCTTGAACAATCTCAAATTATCAGTTTACATAAACAAAGATAAATTATTAAAATAATTATTTAGACTTAATTGCAATATTTTTGTGTCTCTCTCTAACTCCATTTGGAAATACTGAAATTAGAGAGAAAAATTGTGCACAATTTACAGACATGCATTGACTCTACAAAATCTCATAAATAAATCAAGATAAGTAGCTGATTTTTAAGCTACAGCTTTTGCCTCTTCCTTTTTAGCCACTCCTCCCAAAAGTTTTTTAATCTCAGCTATGGCCCTACCAGGATTAAGACCCTGTAAAAATCATGACATCATGAAGATGATAAGTATATGAATGAAAAATGGACATTCATAAATATTACAGCATTAGTAAAGTTGATGAAATAATATTATTTAACATACCTTTGGACATGTTTTGGTGCAATTCATGATTGTATGACAACGATAAACAGAGAAAGGATCTCTTAAGTTATCAAGACGCTGAGCTGTTGCTGCATCTTTTGGATCAATTATCCACCTGTAGGCCTGCAACAAAATCACAATTTAGTCCAAAATTCAAACACCTCAAGAATAATCACAACATACTTGCATTAGCACTGCAGGTCCCAAGTATTTTTCCCCATTCCACCAGTAACTGGGGCATGCAGTGGAACAGCAGGCACACAAAATACATTCATAGAGGCCATCTAGCCTCTGCCTCTCCTCTATACTTTGGATGTCCTGCTGGAGAGCACCACCAGTTTGCTTTTGCTTGCTGTCCCTGTAGAACAATGAGAAATTGCAAAAAAGTGAAGAAAACTGATTCCTTCTGAGCTTACTTTCTCTGTAACCAAGGCTGGATGGATTTGTACTGTCTGTAGAAGTTATTCATATCTGGAACTAGATCTTTCACAACATACATATGAGGCAGGGGATAAATTTTTGTTGCTTTTCCACTTGAGGCATCAATTTTACTGCAAAATCAAGTAACACACCAAATGACATGACTCTAGAGCTAAAAGATCCATTACCTTATGCATGCCAAAGTATTGACACCACCAATATTCATTGCACAAGAACCACATATTCCTTCACGGCATGATCTTCTGAAAGTCAAGGTCGTGTCGACATCGTTTTTTATTTTTATTAGGGCATCCAGGACCATAGGTCCACAAGTATTCAAATCTATAGTGTATTCTTGCATGTAGGGCTTCTTGTCAGGCTCATCTGGATTCCATCTGTAGACTGCAAATGTCTTATTGCGAGGTGCTTTTTTGGTTTCTGCTACTGCAGCAAATGCTGCGGGCGTAACATGGATGTTACGTGCCTGTAGCTTTTAATAAAAAAAAATTATATAACAACTGTGGGTACTACATATTTCATTTATTAAGCAACTCACCCCAGTAAGAACGCCTTTGCATACTTTGAACAGTTGCATTTCTCTCGACATTGTTCTGGTAATGTTTCGTACACCAGCGTATTTCAAAATTTTCCGTCTGGAATTTTTTCTAGGAAAACCAAAAATGCCACAATAAAAAATTCCAGATTTATTACCAAAAACCAAAAACTACAATTTGACATTTAGTTAGCAGGGATGCAAACTTTGAAAAATGAAAGTGTCTCGGTTGTGGCTGCCGCTTGGCGAGGCTCTGTCGCAAGAATTAAAATAACCATGACTTCCGGAATATATTGACACCTGTATTGGCATCAATAAATTATTCAACGATTTCTGTGCTGTACAAACCTTAAGAGTATAGGAATCATTGAGATGACAGCGAATTCATATGAGCCTCTATAGGATAAAAAAAAATTATTAGGAAATGATTTCTGTGGCCAGATTTTCAACTAGAGGTATATTTATTTCTAATGAGAGGTCAGCAGTTCGTGAACCATATTTCAACAAAAATAATATGATCAAGTGGTCTGTAACTGATGATCCAACAAGAGTGACGACTGACGAGGTATTGTTTATTTTATCTCAAAAACTAATAGTTTATGAAACACGACCCTGACCGTTACCATGATGGTAACGCCCTTACGAGGGCGGTGAGAACAAGAATGGTATGGATGGTGATGGTGTTTCATTTTATTCATGAGATCTTCCTTTCTTGAGTCTGAGAACTAGACCTTGATATTGAAAAATTGGTAGTTCCTGAGATCTCAGAGATACGGAATTTTTGTGTTTCCGACGGGTCGGCAATCTAAGCACTTCTCTCTCGAATGACTAGTGACAGTAGTGACCGTCCCCTCTCTTTTCATTGACATTCAAGAATTTCAAGGAGCAAAAGTATAAACAAAAACAATAATATTTGGTTAGAAAATTTGAGAAAATATGACTTCAAAGAAAAAGGTACTGTGAATATTCTGATACTTTGAATATCAGTTTTTCACTACATGAATTTCTTCACAATTCTTTTTAGAATGTCACTTCTACTGAGTCAAGTTCTGGTTCAACATCAGGATCCTCATCTTCTAGTACTAGTTCTAGTGGCTCAGAATCTAGTTCCTCCAGTGAAAGTGAATCGTCCTCTTCCCAAGAATCTTCCAAACAGCAGTCGGGCTCAGAGGCTACTAAAAAAACCGCCCCTATTGTGAAAAATGCCCGCAAAAGTACTGAAAACAAATCAGGAACAGTTGCAAACAAGACTTCAGAAAAGAATGCTTCAAAAAGTAAGATGTCCCTAGGAAAAAATGTGAAACCTCAAAATAAAGCTATCTATAATAGTACTGATGAAGATGATGATGGAAAAAAAACCTCAGCTAAGAGAAAAAGTAATGTTAAACCAAAAAGTAGTGCTACTATAACTCCCAAACCCACAGCCACTGTTCCTACAAAATCAACAGGTACTGCCAAACCTTCTGCAAAAGCTAGTGCTCTTCCTAAACTAGTCAACAAAGGTAAAGAACCTCCAAAGGCAAGAGCACGTAAAGCTCCTGCCAAACAAACTGATGCCAACAAGAAGAAAAGTATTTTTTCACCAGAAAATAGCTCTGAATCAGACTCTTCTAAAGCAGTGAAGTCACAAAGTAAACAAAATCAGGTCAAACCAAAAACAAAGCCTGAACCCAGGGCTAAAGCTGCTCCAAAAGTTGTGCAGAAGCCTAAAACTGAAAAGAAAGTAGATAAGACTCCTCCAAAGTCTAAGGAAAATTTGAAGGAAACTATAGGTAAGTTTTATACAAGGGGTAAACTACAGTCAAAATTGTGTACACCAAACATCAATTCCACAAGGAATTCCAAGGAATTCCAGTTGTTTATACACCAGAATTATATCACACTTCACTCACTCAGGTACTCTAAGGAAATCCAAGGAATTCCAGTTGTTTGTAGCCCAGGAATATACTGCATTTCACCCAAGGTATTCCAGGGAATTCCAGAGAATTCCAAGGAAATTCAACAAGGAATTCCAAGGAAATCAAAAGAATTCCAAGGAATTTCAATAAATTCCAGGGAATTCCAATTCCCCTTTTGTGAAAATCCCTTGAAAAATCCACTGGTCTTTACAGAAAAAAAGGTGCTATTGTTCCATATCATTCAGATGTACCATTTTTGAGAAAACTAGATTTGAGAATATTGTACAATCTCAAAAACCTTAGATTAGTATTTTATGTTTCTAATTAGGCCATATATTACATTGTATCACATATGGAAAAAAACATGGTTCCATTCTTCTGAGAGCACTGCTCCAACAAAACAAGGACTGTTGCTTTTCAGTGCATGATAAATTTGAAAAAAACTGATATAAAACCACTGTTTATACCTTACTCTTAAAGGCAACACCCTCCTTTGTAGAGAGGCATTACGAACGCCAAAGTTGATACACTCCCCTCGTAAGGGTACCTGACGTGATTCCATACACTCACATAATTGAATGTTGACTAATTATTCCACTGATAAAATGAATAATTTAGTGAATGGATAAAAGCCACTGTTCTACAAAGGAAGAAGACTAAAACTTTGATTTGTATTTATTGAAAGACTTTAACACTTATCTCAAAAATCTCATTTCATTCATCTATCTGGTATGACATTCCCAGATCTAGACTTTTGAAGTGTACTGTCTTACAAATGAAAATGAATTTTTTGCAAATCCAGGATTTTGAATTCTGAGACATCAGAGATAGTTTGCATCATTCCAGGAATATCCTAAAAACAAACTCCATAAGTATTACTTTTTGTTGATTGCTCCATATATTATTCACTTCATATATCTGTTCCAAAGTGGATAGTCCTGCAAACGACTATGAAATTTTCCCTAGATTCTGATAAATCTGCAATAATTTTCATTGTTCCTGGGATATCCTGAAAAAAAAACCTTGGATTAGTATAATTTGTTTCCAATTGGGCCATGTATCACATATGGAAGAAAACAAGGTTCCACTCTTCTGAGAGCACTGCTCCATTAAAACAACGACTGTTGCTTTTCCATAGTGCATGATAAATTTGGAAAAAACTGGTATAAAACCACTGTTTATACCTAACTCTTGAAGGCGACACCCTCCTTTGTAGAGAGGCATTACGAACGCCAAAGTTGATACTCTCCCCTCGTAAGGGTACCTGACGTGATTCCATACACTCACATAATTGAATGTCGACTAATTATTCGACTGATGAAATGAATTTAGTGAATCGATAAAAGCCGCTTTTTTACGAAGGAATGTTCGGAGAAGAATAGAACTATGATTTGTATTAATGAAAAGACTTTAATGTTCATGAAAACTCATCTTAAAAATCTCCTCATTCAATTTATCTATCTGGTATGACATTCACAGATCTACAGTTTCGACGTGTACTGTCGTACAAACGAATAGGGATTTTTTGCAGATCCAGGATTTGAAGTTCTGAGACATCAGAGATAGTTTGCATCGTTCCAGGAATATCCGAAAAAAAAAAACTTGATTAGTATTAAGTTTTGTTGATTTCTCTATATATTATTTACTTTATCTATCTGTTCCAAAGTGAATGGTCCTGCCAACGAATATGAAATTTTCCCAAGATTCTGAGGAATCTGCAATAATTTTCATTGTTCCTGGGATATCCTGAAAAAAAACCTAGTAATATTTGTTTCTAATTGGGCCATATATTAAATTGTATTACATATGTAAGGAAACATGGTTCTACTCTTCTGAGAGCCCTGCTCCATTAAAACAACGACTGTTGCTTTTCCATAGTGCATGATAAATTTGGAAAAAACTGGTATAAAACCACTGTTTATACCTAACTCTTGAAGGCGACACCCTCCTTTGTAGAGAGGCATTACGAACGCCAAAGTTGATACTCTCCCCTCGTAAGGGTACCTGACGTGATTCCATACACTTACATAATTGAATGTCGACTAATTATTCGACTGATGAAATGAATTTAGTGAATCGATAAAAGCCGCTTTTTTACGAAGGAATGTTCGGAGAAGAATAGAACTATGATTTGTATTAATGGACAGACTTTAATGTTCATGAAAACTTATCTTAAAAATCTCCTCATTCAATTTATCTATCTGGTATGACATTCACAGATCTACAGTTTCGACGTGTACTGTCGTACAAACGAATAGGGATTTTTTGCAGATCCAGGATTTGAAGTTCTGAGACATCAGAGATAGTTTGCATCGTTCCAGGAATATCCGAAAAAAAAACTTGATTAGTATTACGTTTTGTTGATTACTCTATATATTATTCACTTTATCTATCTGTTCCAAAGTGAATGGTCCTGCCAACGAATATGAAATTTTCCCAAGATTCTGAGAAATCTGCAATAATTTTCATTGTTCCTGGGATATCCTAAAAAAAAAAAACTAGTAATATTTGTTTCTAATTGGGCCATATATTAAATTGTATTACATATGTAAGAAAACATGGTTCTACTCTTCTGAGAGCACTGCTCCATTAAAACAACGACTGTTGCTTTTCCATAGTGCATGATAAATTTGGAAAAAAAACTGGTATAAAACCACTGTTTATACCTAACTCTTAAAGGCGACACCCTCCTTTGTAGAGAGGCATTACGAACGCCAAAGTTGATACACTCCCCTCGTAAGGGTACCTGATGTGATTCCATACACTCACATATTTGAATGTCGACTAATAATTCGACTGATGAAATGAGTAATTTAGTGAATCGATAAAAGCCGCTGTTTTACGAAGGAATGTTCGAAGAAGAATAGAGCTATGATTTGTATTTATGGACAGACAAATTTAACGTTTATGAAAACTTATCTTAAAAATCTCATTTCATTCATCTGTCTGTTATGACATTCACAGATCTAGTGTTTCGAAGTGTACTGTCGTAGGGATTTTTTCAAATCCAGGATTTTAAATTCTGAGACATCAGAGATAGTTTGCATCGTTCCAGAAATATCCTAAAAACAAACTTGATTAGTATTACGTTTTGTTGATTGCTCCATATATCATTTTCTTCATCTATCTGTTCCAAAGTGATTGGTCTTGCAAACGAATATGAAATTTTTCCAAGATTCTGATAAATCTGCAATAATTTTCATTGTTCCTGAAATATACTGAAAAAAAAACCTTGGAGTAGTATTATTCGTTTCTAATTGGGCAATATATTACATTATATGAAATAATAAGGTTTTTTTTATTAACTTCGATATTTCCTATGTGGTCCGCATTTGTGAGAGATTAAATTATTTTTTGAGGTTTATACGTCCATGAGTTTTTCCATGGGCATCCTATGACTTTTATATCTCGAAATCGAGCTGAATATTTCTAAAAATAATAATAAAACATTCGTGAAATTGGATGCGCGCTCGTAAAAAGTACTTCATTCATTTTCTTTCGCTCTCTTAAAATATCAAAACAGATCTACAGAATTTTGCCATACAGAGTGTTGTTTATGCTATAAAAGAAATATTCTGTTTTTCCTAGATGGACCTGGAATCTGGTATTCGATTTCTATTTAGTTTTCATGGGTAATATAAGTGAAATATATCTACAAATTATGAATAGATATTGGTTCATAAATTATTAGATACAAATTTTGCCAAAATCGTGATAATGTTCTGTATCTCAGTATTAAAAGACGGTTGACACATCAGTAAGGACAGTAAGGAGTGATTTGGAAATATCAAAGTGTCCTGACGCCGGCTGTATCTGGGAAACTATTTGCCGCACTGGTTTCGGAAAAAAATAGTTTTTTCTGTGACGGGAAAAAAGTTTGGCATTTCATCTCTGTTGGCAGGTTATAAAATGTCACTTTTCATAAATTACTTTTTTCCCGTGGAAAAAAGTGAGTACTTTTTTCCCGGATATATATCACATATATATACACTGTTGATGGCTTTTGTTGTGCTATAGTTCCGAAAAATGAGTCAATAATACCGTCTCCGAGAAAGAAGTCCTTTTATCTTCCATTCGACTTCGCGGTTACGGATATTAGTAAACAACCACTAAATTCGCAATTTTTTAAAATCAATTCACAGAATTAGACTGACAGAAGTGACATCAGATATTTGATTACTTCAAAAGAATGATAAAGATGCCTACAGCGCAGGTGTCCCTACTGTTGAAAACTTAAAATTTCCCGTCGATAATTTTCATATTTCAAAATATAGTAATATATTCTCAATAATGATTCGTCCTTTCTTCTGTCACAGAAAAAAATAGTGTATTATACACGGAAAAAATATTAGATTTTAGCTCACGGTTTTTTGTATTTGTCACAACACAACCTGGAGCTAAAATCTACTACTTTTTTCACTTGCATAATGAATAATTATATAATGAAAGTGGCCAAGAATAATCTCTGGAATTTATTTTCAAGTTTCCAGGACAGCCGCTAGAGAGCATAATCGCATAGGACAATTCAAAAAACGGGTTTTTATGGAAATTTGATATATCAAGACATATCGAAAACACTTTTTTCATGTTCTCGAGTTGATTTCCAATCATTTCGATAAAAAAAATGCGCTAGCTCTTTTAATAAAGGAGGGCGGGAAGGATGAATTAATAGTACTTCGGAAAAACTCTTATTACTACAGTTTGGTGTAACGGAATTCAATGATCTTGGTCTC